TATATATGTATGAACATATATATATGTTTTTTGGCAAACACAAAATCCCGCACACATAAATAAAATAAAAGGGCGCCAAGCCGAAGGCATAAAAATTTCATCGATTTCCGGTTAAAGGCAAATATTGTAACCATAAATATGAGCTGACTATAAATATTGGGGGGCGCTGCTCCATGTTATGTTGTTGGGAGGGTTAAATATGTGTCCAATGTGCGTGAGGGTTAACCGTGGAAAAGAAGGGGCGTAGGGCATGGGGCGTGGCACTTTCACGCCAATGTGGCGATAATGCGATTGCTTTTGGCTTTGGCTTTGGTGTGCGCGATTACATTTCGATTTGATTTCGATTTGCTCTGGCATTGCCAACGACATCGGCATCGATACGAAATTTTTATTTTATTTTCATTTTTCAGTGCTGGCAGCGCAGAGACAAAATTTAAATTGTTTTTGCCATCGGCTGAAAACAAATTCTAAATAAAGTGGGACGTGACAAGCGAATGTCTCCTCCGATCCGATTGCAACGAATTGCAAGTTTCCTAAAGGGTTTGATAAAAAAAATATTAGAAATTAAAAATAATACATATTATATTTATTAATTTAATATTCAAACATGGTTTTGTTGGTTAAGCAATCGTTCAATTAGCACAAGCCCATTTATTGATAAGTAAAATCATAAAACAAAATAGTTCACAGTATTCTTTAAAGACTAGTATTAAAAATTATAATAAAATTCTATAGATACTTCTTAAACTGTTAAATACAAAGCACATTCAAGTTTAAACTTTCTATATCTTCAATAAATAAATGATATATATTAGAGGGTATACTAAAACCAATCCAGCCAACCCATTTATTTAAGGCCCACACTTTTTGGCACGCATATTTGTTTACCACTTTGCTGTGCAACAATAGCTGTGAGTTTTCATGCCATTTTTAGACTTTTAGGCAAATTGCAGAAGCAGAAACCAAATCAGAGCCCAGAGCCAGAGCCCGAAACAGTTGGAGCCTGCGGCTGCCAGGCAACCGAACCACACCACTCCAAACCAATACGGCTAAGTGCCCGGGAGGCAATCACAACGCCGTAGTAGAATGCGGATTTGTATTTATGTCCCGCACTGTTGGTAAACAACAATTTGCCATTCGGCCATCAACAAAAGCCGCTGCGGGGGTTGGCGGGAATTAAAATTTTGTGGCAATACAAAAACAAAAAAAAAATAAATGTAAATAAATAAAAATAAATGCATTGTCGATGCAACATCAAAGCAATATTATTCTCCGAATTCGTTTCGCACTTTTCTATTGTTTGATTTTCCATGTCGTGGTTTGGTTCTGGTTCGAGCTTAGAGACGGGGCTTAAAGTGTATAATTCTTACTTTAAAATGATTAACCAAATTTAGTAATAAAATAACGAAAGGAATTTTCCTCTTCGTATTTTCATCCCCAACATCTGGCTAATTGATTCTGTTCCTTTGTATAGAATATTGCCCTCCGGCTTTTTCGCGGAATAAACATCAGCTAAATCTCCATCTGAAGCAAAGCTCCTCAAAACCTTCGACCCCAGGGGTCTTTTAATTAAGTATACGCCACGTTGTTTGCACATCCAACTGCAAACTCTTAAATCAAAGCCAATTGCTATGCTAAAACCTCTCTACTATGTACACAAATAAATTCAGACTATTAAATTAATTATTTGTTTATGTTTTTTAATAACTAACATTTAATGAGCACCCCCACCTAGTACACCCATTAAAACTTACAGAAGCCGCCGAAACCAACGAGGGCTTAAAACTGATTAAAATGAATGACGTTAAGCGGCGGGCATATTTTAATTATTTAATGCTAATTAATATGTTTTGTAAAACCACAAAAGCAACGGCAATAACAACAACGGCAGCCACTACTATCCAGCGGCAGCAGCTTGCTATTAACATTTCATAATGAGTTTTGCATTTAATTTTGTCAAAGCTTGCTAAGCTCTGTTGACAGGCGTGTGAGACGTTAGAGACGTGTGAGAGTGTGGCTTCCAGATACATGTGGCGAACTATTGAGACAGACTGTAATTAATTTGTTTGTTGACTTGGCAACCAAACTGATGGGATGGGTCTACCCTCCCCATGTTGTGTGTGAGACACTCGAGTGTGCGTGTATAAGTAATTTGCGGGCTGCTCGTCAACTTTCCTTTGCATATCTCACAGCTGTCACAGACCGAAAAGTGTTGGTTTAGTTTTTGATATTTTTGTGAGACAAAAAGGCTTGAGAAATAATATTTTCCCAAGGAATTTCCTAAGAAAATTCATTTGTTAGCAGTGTTCTGGGAAAAGAAAATGCGTTTTTATAATATTGTTTTTGACTTTTAAAAAATATATTTTGTATCAGCTTACATGTACTTACAGATGGTTCTTTTAGTCTTTCTTACTGACTTCAAATATATATCAAATTGTATATATTTTTATAACCGTTTTCAGAAATTTCTCATTTAAAAGTCAGTATATTCAATACCCGATTGAATAAATCTTTTTTTCTTAAATAGTTTAGCTGAAAAACATTTTGGGAACGTATTTTATTTCCCCTGTCGACTTGATTCCAGATCCCCGCTCCCCCGAGCTGATTTATGCTGCACATTAATATTTTAATGTCTTCATTGCCCGGGCCTAGGCAACAAAAAATAAACAAAAAGCAAATGCCTCTGTCTCTGGTTGAGAGTCCCCAGCAATCCATTAAACGTTATCAGCCAGTGACACAGTCCTGGCTCATTTCAAAAGTCCTCTCCACCATCCTCCCCGTCGACTGGGGAAAAAGACACCCCCCTGGCGACTGTTTACGCACATTTGTCTTGTGTTTGTGGAGGAAAAGCGGGGAAAACTTTTTGAAGGCTAGCCAGAACTAGAACTACATGGAAAAGCGGAGATACACAGAGATAGATAGATAGAGGAAGGACTGAAAGAAGAAGGTTTTTCCTGCCGCCTTTGGCGAAATTCAATTATAGCAAATCGTATGCAAATGAGTTTGGGGCCTGCAAAAGTTAAACAGCAAAAAGTGGGAGGCCCCCAACCACCCCTCGAAACGTTTTCAATTTCCAAATTGCATTTCCTTTGCCAGGCTCCTTCCCTACTTCCCTTCCCTCGTACATATATGGTTGGGATCCTTTCGGATTTGCCGGCTTTTTGTTGCATTTGCAGTGCTTAACTGCATTAAGCATCACACCTACACGTGTTATCCTCCGACTCCTGCTGCTGTCAAAGTCATTATTCATTTTTCACTTTGTTATTTTGCAACGTGTGCAGAATTCACTTTGCGTTTCTAATTTCATTTTTTTGGCTCGTTTTTCTCTATAGCAAAAACACGAAAATATTTTTGCTAGCGCAGTTTTTTAATTAGTTGGTTACCTTGCCCGGATTTTGCTAAAATTATTCACACATCTGAAATATATGTTGTGCTGTAGATGGCATTTGCAGATGCAGTACGAAGTTCATATGCAGCCCCCACTGCGGATTATTTTCTAATTAGTTTTTGATGTTAAAGTCGTAAACACAAATTTTATTTTATATAACCAATTTGTGCAGAGTGAACAAATTCCTGATTCTAACACAAATATGCACTCCTTACTTTTATTTTGCACATAACTTACTTAAATCTGTTTATTCTTACATAAGCAAGCTGCTAAGTTTTTCGACCAATGATTCAGAATAATCCCTTGAAGTAATCCATTCATCTTTTGTTCACGTTACGTCCTTTACGATTCCCCTCATAATTGCCCAAATATCGAACACATTGTCAGCGCGTTTTTCAATCCCCTCACTTCTTGCCCAATTAAATTCAGCTTAAATTTCACCCCACCAAAAACAGAAAAACCCTTAAGAGCACACACAGATACGGTAGTACGTGTGGCCCTCGAATTGCCAACCAACTGCACAATTTTTCAATCAACTAAAAATGTTTAGAATGGCTTATATTCATTCGCCAACCGATCGAACTATACTGTGCGCACTTTTCGCCCCCTTGGAAATGTGTGCCACTGATTGTATGTGCCGCAGTTGCAAAAATGCCATAAAATAAAAAATGTCAAAAAAAAAGGAAAAAGCTAGGTAGGGAAACTGCAAAATGCAGACAAAATTCTAGGCAGAAGGAATAAAGGAGGGGTTGAAGAACAGCAGGAACCGGAAGAAATACTACTGCAAAAATTGATTTGTACTTTTACTTAAATACTAGAAAAATTGGTTGTTTCAGTTATGAAATATTTTATATACAAACTTAACTTTATTTCCATAATGACTTTTGACCAAAATATTGTTGATTTTTCTCTGTGTAGAAGAGAAACAGACCCAGACTGTCTGGGGGCGCATGAAATTGCCATTTCCAATTAACGCCATTGCAAAAATAGTTAAATGTTCACAGAACGATGCAACAACAATAACATCCCGACCTGACCGAAAACAACAGCAAAAGAAGGGCTAAAAGGGGAGGCTCAAAGAGTGGGAATGGTTTCGGTCATGGTGACAGTGGCCGCCAGTGAATGCCACTGAAACTCCCGTTACTGCACCCATTTTGGGTTTTACTCTTCTGTTACCATTCACAGCACCTGTTCTCCTCTCCCTTTGCACACAGATGCCAATTTTTGGCATTGGCTTGCTGCGAATTTTTCCCAGCTATTGCCATTGCAGTTAGCGGTATGTGCAACTAACTCTATTAACGAACCGGAAACGAAAGTACACACAGCCACGCAGAAAGGGAATGGGTCAGGGAGCAGTTCGAGGGGTTATCAATGACACATTGCGTGGCCTGAAGACACGTGTTGAAAATTCCATGCTGACGAGCTTAAACTATTCATCAGAAGTGAGTAAAATATTCCAAAAATATGTATGATTTCTTTTTCCTACGATTTACAAAATATTTAATCAACTATTCAGCTGAGCTTAGCAACAACAATCACTTATAGATAACAAAACAAGACGAGTTCCGCCACATAAAGTAACCTTGATCGCAAAAAGTGTGTGCTTGCTAGAGTGAACCTCGGTTATATAAATATTTTTTACAAAAATTAAGAAAGTCTATTTTGTGTAACTAAGGTCCACTCTACCCCGCACAAAAACTGATAGACTTTTTCGAAGAAAAAGCATACGCCCTTTTTTTCAAATACGACTTGGATTAGCAGGCCTATATAAGATGAACTCTTAATCGGAATCCCGCATATTCGCTGTGATAATCAGCTAGTACAAACCTTTGGTTTTCATTTTAATAAAAAGAAATGAAGTTCGCAGTGGAATCTTTTTGGCTTTTTTGGCTGACATCACTTGTTAGGTAAGTATTTAATGTCCTCCAAGGAGCGCTCTTTCTGAAAACCTTTCTATGTCAGTGCTGCAACAACCTCAAACGTGACGAGTTCCGGACAGACCAGGATTACTGGCCAGCTTTTACCAATGGTTATCAACACCTGGCCATTTTCAGATGCCAATGAGGAGGCATGGCGACTGCTCAACCTGAGCAAAGGTGGTATTGGACAAACGAGAAACGCCGTTGTCGGCGGAATTTCGGAGTGCGAAAGGCTGCAGTGCGATAAGGCTGTGGGCTACGGTGGGAATCCCGACGAGCGAGGAGATACTTCTCTGGACGCCTTGCTCATGGACGGTAGTACCATGGACGTGGGTGCAGTAGCCTATCTGCGGCGGATTCGAAGTGCCATTAAGGTAGCCCGTCATGTCTTGGAAAACACGAGACACTCCCTATTGGTGGGTAATGGAGCCGAAGACTTTGCCAATGCCATGGGTTTCTCAAACGAGTCACTAAATACTCCCGAAACCAGAGCCATATGGCAAAATTGGACGGTCCATAACTGTCAGCGAAACTTTTGGCAAAATGTCTATCCGGATCCCAAAACTTCCTGTGGGCCCTACCAGCCCTTGACTTTATTGGATAAGGATGCTATTCAGAGCGATCCGACCGAGATAGGACCCAATAACCACGACACTGTTACCATGGCCGCCATCGATGTGGAAGGAAACATCCACGTAGGCACATCCACGAATGGATTACGTCATACCATACCCGGGCGTGTTGGAGATGCTTCAATTCCTGGTTCCGGTGCCTATGCTGATAACGAAGTGGGCGCCGCTATTTCCACCGGAAATGGTGACATTCTCATGCGCTTCCTCCCATCCCTCCTAGCTGTGGAGGCCATGAGGGCTGGTAAGACGCCGGCAGAGGCAGCCGACTTGGCTGTCCAGCGCATCCGAAAGCGCGTTAAGAGCTTTGATGCCGCCATTATAGCCGTTGATCGCTTCGGAACATATGGGGTGGCATGTCATGGTACCTATGTTTTCACAAAGGGATTCTCCTACATGGTCAGTAACCCTGCACAGCCGAAGCGTAAGGAAACGGTTGATTGCACGACGGGTACTACTTCCGATCACCAAGTTATTTGGTAGGCGGAATTTTTAAACCTAGTCTTAGTCTGAGTTTTTGTTACTTTTTACATCATCTAAAAAATTTTCAGACAAGCTCATACTATACTAATACTCTTACTTTACTAATACCCTAATAAACTTATTTTTATTTCACCGCCTAAGAAAATCTGTACGTACTCTTACTAACCTTGCTCCGATTTTTTGAATTTTACTAGAACCATTTTAGTAACAGCCTTTAGCTTACCATTCGTCGACATTTTTGTACTATATTTATGGGTGGAGAGCACCACCAGCTAAAAATACAAAACAAAATTGTCAGTTTATTTTATAGGCCCCGAAATGTTGCCATGTTGACCGAATTTTCCGCGGCCGTGTGTTGATAACGCTTGACCGTTCTTAAATTCGCCTCCTCTCTACCTCCCCCCAAAAAAAACTGAAAAAAAAGAAATGAAAAAGAAAACCCCTTGACAATATTTGCACGTTTCTATTGTGTGCTCTGGTAGTGCGTTTAAACTGCGACTCGATTTTTATCGATTTAATCAAGCGACGACTGCTGCTGCCTGTTCGGCTGGATGGTGCTCTTCTCCCATAGACAAATACACATACATTTTTTTGTTGTTCACCTACCCGAGGGATACTAACTGGGAAAAAAGGAAAAGATGGGGAACGCCAGCGATTTCCATACGTAATTGCACTGTAATTGACAATTTATTGTGTCAATCGCAATCGAGGCACAATGCCGCATCGCATCCAGAGTTCTGCCAGCGGTGTGTGGCACGTTTAATTAACAAGGCGACAACGATGCCAACGGTTAATGGGCGGTGCGATGGGTGGTGCTGCCGTGGGTGGTACTACGGGCGGTGTTGCCATGGGTGGTGCGAAACAACCGCGTTCGTAGCCAGCAAGAGAAATTTAATCTGTTTTTTAAAACGAGCTGGATAAGTTGAGGCAATCAACTGGAAAATCAGCAGTAACGCGCCAAATACAAACTGCTGCACCTGATCGGCTTCAATCTGCTGGGAAATATATACATGAGAGTATATACTCCGTATCGGAGAAACCCGATTAAATGCTGGTAGAAAAGAAAGTGGTTAGAGGATTTTTGAGTTTTACAATTACTTTTCATAAAATATTTAATAGTATCTGCGAAACGAAAAATCGGGCATTTACGGCTAATCAGAATCCATCTTTGGTGCGGAATATAAAATGTTTAATCAAGCAAAGGTCACCAATGTCACGAACAATCGAATTGAAAATCAAAAAAAGTTCACAGAAATCTTTATTATGGCACCTTGGTAGGCTGCTCTAAAGCTATATCTAGGCTTTCGCTTCTAAAATATATATTCTAAAATTTATGACAATAAATTGGTTCACTGTATCAAGCCCTAAGGCTGATAGACTCTCAAAGTTCAAGACTAACGAAGATTAAGGTGATCGGGGTATTGATTACTAAGCCTACAAAAGCTGATGGTTTTAAGGGGGTCGTTCGTTTTGTGCTTATCGGCAAGTAGAAAATTTTGTTTAAATTTCACTTAAGAACTATAAGGCTCACTGGGATCGGTATTTTTTGTATAAACTAGTTCCTCAAAGTTCAGCCGACACAGCCATACAATTATTGTTTGATGTAACTTTTTCATGCATTTTTCCAATATTTCTAGGTCTATGTAGAAGCTTAGCTAGGCTAACATCTAAAAGATTCCGGCTAATTTATAGCTGACATATCGAAGCTAATCAAAGCACATCAAGCTGGAGGCTCACTAAACACCGCGCTAATAGAGGCTTCCGTAAAGGATTTATGTTCGGCCCGTTGGGTATCGGGGAATCGAGAAATTGAGGCATTGAGGAATCGAGGCATCTCAGCATCTCGGGCTCATCAGCATCCATCTTTGAGGCGTTGCCCGGTCATGGGTCTCTAATTGGCCATGGACGAGGGCCTGTCCATGGGCCCACTCCCAAGTTGATTAACGTGCCCACCAATTACGCGGCCCATATATATCGTACACAACCACTGAGAACAATCAGTCTTAAGAGAAAATCAGTAATTTTTTATCTATTCCTTGCAAAACTTTAAGCTAGCATATTTTTAGGTAAAATGGATGGATATATACTGCATACTGCATTAATTTTTCTCAGTGTGATATAGAAAGAGAACCCCATATCGACGTGGCCAGTGATAAAGTGTGCGTAACAAAAGCTAATAATTGCCAAGGCTGGGCACGGTGAAAAGTCGCCCGTGCTTTTGCCGCTCGTTGAGTGGCCAAAAACTTTGGCATCATAATTTATAGCTGCGTTAAACAAGCGAGGATAACAAATTAATTTTGTCTGGGGCGACGGCACAGGCGGCGTCCAAGAGGAAAAAACCGCATCTCAGGGCGATGCCAGGACTTATGAGCACGACGTTTACTCTCGAATTTCTTAGTTGGGCCAATTAATTTCTAAAGTCAGGACGTGCTTCGGTCCTCCATCTCCTTGTCCAATGTGTGTTTGTGTGTGTGTGTGTGTCTGTGTATGGCTGTCTCGTAAATCTTAACGAACCAAAAGCGAAATTCCTACGCATCTCTCAGCAGGAACTCAGTCGCGAATGCCGCTCATAAATATAAGTTCCAATGGCCATCGAGGCCACCTCCAAGCGGAGGGCGAGCTATTGAAGGTGAATGATATTACCAGGTATAAGATGGGGTATATTGGACAATTTAAGATTTTAAGAGATGTAATTAATTGGTAAGTGAAAAACAAATCTCTTTACTGGAGTAATGAAGTTGTTGAAGAACTTTAGCAATTTATTAACTTGCGAATACTAAACATCTTAATATATTTTAATACCTAATGATTTAGATTTTGTGATTTTTATAAAATCAAATTAAGATTAAACATTTTGAGTATATCACCTCACTCAAGGGCATCACAGCCTTCACAACATCTCGATCACCCCTCTTGTTATTCCACCATTTGCGGCCATAATGGCCATTGTTTGTGTCTGCGGATGGATAAGGGAACCCCCTGGCCAGCAGCTACCAGTGAAATACGTCAAAATATTTGGCATTCGATGCGATGTTTGCCACGTTCAGCAGTTCGAACGCCAGCTCTAATATTTATGCCTCGAACGGAGCATAGGAAACCCCATACCCCATATAACATACCTCTTGACTCATAACTATGCGCTGCCATCTCTAATCGCAACTTGGGTTTGCTTTTGTTTTGTTTTATTGTCGCACAGTCGAGCAAAACACATAAATCTCCTCTCCATGACTTGGACTTCGATGCTGGCTCGTCGCTCTGCCCCTTACAAACCCGGCCACGCCCCCATCTTGTATGTGTGTGTGTGTGTGTGGCAGAAAGGTGTTGATAACGTTGTTCTCCGATTCCGGATCCGTCCGACTCTCCGGCTGTACATCTTAATCGTAATGCAAAAGTTGTCATGTTGATATGTAAACGAAAACGTGCTGCAAATATTTGCTGATGCCAAATTCTTTTCCATTTCCATTCTGCTCGAGTGGCATGTCAACGCAGTTTTTTCTAATTTATGAGCTTTAGCTGTTAGATGGGAGCAGGAATTGGCCATAAAAATATATACGGCATTTAGGCGTGATTCTAATCAGACTTTGTTAAATTCAGGTTTAATAGGTACCACCGCCGTGACATGTCTTGACACAAAAATCGGATTTATGACTTTGAATTCAAGGAAATTCTTTTTAAAGATGTCCATTTAAAGGTATTTCAAGGTAAGTTCATTTCGTAACTGAATTCTTGGTTTTTATCCATCCCATTCAATAACCCAACTCATAGCAGTGCTCAAGCTTAGTTTTTAATTACAGGAAAATCAAAAGCGCATAACGCTGCAAATCTGAACTTTTTGCAGGTGCCGGGGGACGGATGACGGGATGTGGATTCTGATTCAGCCACAAAATCAGGCTAGAAGGCTTGTCAGTAAGCCACACACACACTCACACACACACGCCCACTTCGAGCCAGTATTAATCCACATCCGAGTTATAATTCATGCTGATTGTATGAACATTTCAGCTTTTATGTGAACCGTAAAACTTTACTTCCTGACTTTTCATCAGGCAAGAGGGCCATTCCACCTGGCAGGGACTCAACCACAGATACAGATGTACTATATGTATATGTATGGCAGATATGTCCCATCTCCTCTCCAATTTCAGCAGTAAAGTTGAGAAAATTTTCAATTTTTACCTCTGTCTCTCTTATTTTTGTGTGTGAATAGTTTTTTGGTGTAATTCCAGTTACAGTTTCGGCCAAGCTAAACCGGCTATATGACTTTGGTTACAAAGGGCTTATTCACACACACACACACACACACACACACACGAATGCCCGGAATGAGCGACTCTGTGTAGTTGCTTCCGTTTCCGTTGGCAACTTTGTCCTTTCATTGCGATTCTGTGGACTGTGTGCATCGCCCCCACTCAACTTAAATATCATTATTATTAACCCGGCCGAGTTTACACTTGAAGAATTTACTAATCGGAGAAATTAAAAGCTAAGAAAACAAAGAAAATCAATCTTAAGTATAATAAAGAAAAAGAAATGTAAAATAAATATGTTTATAATGTTTAAAATTAGCAAAAAAAGTACAAAACATTATTTTGATAAAGGCAAATTTGTTTTTTAGTGCACATAAAGGAGTGAATGACGGCGGTTTGGGTCACCACTTTAGCGAAGGAAAGCTACGTTGAGTAGCGCCAGACGTTGGTTAGGTAAATTATACTTAATGCCAGGCCCACGCCTACGCTCACCTATACACCTGTCCCGCCCTTCTTAGCCGACTGAGAGAGCGAAAGTTATGCCTCGTTAGGGTCTCCACTTTCCACCTCCACTCACGTAGTTGTTAAATGCCACGTTTCACTTGAATAATTGAGAGCGATTAGGCCAGAAACTTTTGCATTGATTAAGGTTTAAGTTGGCCAAACATTTGCCCAACTCTGGGGGGAAAGCCCCCGCAAACTAGCCGTCTCCTCCACCGATGTCATTGTTTTCCAACAACGGCTCGACTGGGCTGTATTGGTCGTTTCGAGTGTCTGTGGGTTACCATCTACCGGATCCTGTTTCCCGGGGTTCAGCTCCACCTTTGTCATTTGCTATCAGCAAATGTTTAAATATGCATTACGTGTGTTATTCTCATGTTCAGCAGCACTTGGGGATTACCAAGAGCTGTAGATGAAAGTCCTCGATAGCGAGTTGGAAAGGACTCCAGCCAACATCTACTCCCCAGTCACTGTTCCCCATCTCCGTCCCCCTTACCCATTCCCTACGGACTTTCTGTCTACCTCTGTAAAAAATTTAACAC